GCTTCAAAGCTTTGGTGTCCATGAGCTGAGGCAGAACAAAAGGCAAGAGGGGGAGCCGTTCTCTGCCTGGCAAAACTCCATGCAGCAAAAGATCTTAAAGGCTTACTGAGAGCGCTTAAGGGAATATTTACCACCTCTTTATATAAGGGGATATTGCACTGACTTGGCTCAAATAGCAAAGCAGATGGGGACAGAATCTGGAAGAGGCCCAGCTCCTGTGGCATTTGCCATCCTTTCAGAAAAGAGTAACCTTCCCAAGGTGAGCTTCTGAGAACCTTTCGCTGTTTCTCCTAATCATCTTTTTGCAGACAGGGGATGTCAGAGAGAGGTTAGCTTGTATGATCATGGTGCTAAGCAGCAGTTTGTGGGCAAACAGTGCTTTCAGTCACTTGCAGAATAGATTCCTGTGGGCACTGCTACGGAAGCCTGTTGGTAGCAAATGTCTCCTCCCCAAAACCTCCTACAGCTCTCAGACAGTGGGATGAACATGATTTAAAAACATGCCAGTTTGTGTGATCAAACCTGTTCACTGAGTTCTCCTTTCTTCCTAGGGTCCAGCCTGTTTGTTCCAGAAAGTCCCCCTACCTCTTCCATTATCGCATCATTCCTTTCTGCTGCTGCCAACTCCACAGTGCCATCTGTCGCAAGGACTAACTTGTCAAAACCCTGTTCCTTCATGGGGCGGAAACCCTGTGAGCTGGCCAGCGTCCATTTTGTGTTGTTAGGGTAAGCCTTAAGCAGTGGTGGTGTCGTCTAGGTGGCTAGCTTCTAAGAAAAAGTTGAACAGTCATGGACCGTGAGCATGAGACCAATCGGGAGTCCCTTGAGGGCAACATGGCTCCCTCCCCAGACGGTGGGTATTACTGTTTTTTCAGAAAGAAAGCAGCATCACAGCCTGGGCAGTTGAATTTTTGAAGTGGGATGTGGTTTTTCACTGTATGTCAAGAGGAGACTTGAAACACATGTCCCGATAACAGTATCAACAAATGCAAAAGGGCTTCTGTTTAATGCTAAGCTGGGAGCTGGCATAATCCTGAAGAAAATGGAGCCTCTTGCTCTGGCTGCATCTTTGGATGTATGATAAAACTGCTTGTTTCATGAAAGATAAGGAAGAGTGGCAGGCAAAATGTATGCTGTACCAGTAAATGTTAACCACCTTTGCTCTCCATCCTTTTAAATGTTAGATATGTGAAGTAGGTAATAAATAGCTTTCCCAGTTTGTTAGAAATAGACCTTTTAGGCCAGGGCAAGCAGGTAACTTGAATAGAAATGATGTTCTGACGGTGCTTCATCTCTGTCCTCTCACAAAGTGCATCTCTACCCTCTGTAGAACTTTCCACTTCCATTCAGCATTCCTCTGGCAGCGCTTGCAAAAATATATGGACCATCTCACCTTGTGAGTCAATCTCTTCTGCTGAATCCAATGCTTCCTATTGAACTCCCTCTCCCTTAGTCAAAATGGGCCTTTTGGTATATAAGCCTGAGTAGATGTTGGCAGCATCAACTCAGCTGCTTGGGAGTCACCATCCCCCCCCCCCCCCCATTCAGAAATTAAGGGATTTGCCAAATGAGGCCATTTACAAAATGGAGGAAATATGTGACTTTTTAGACTAGAGCAATACAAGAGATGCCAATAGTAGATCAGGGTTTTCAGGTGGATTATTCTTCAATTCCTGCCCTTTGCTGATTTCCTTATACTCTCCTCTAGAAGTCTGGTTAATATTTTAAGTGTATAAATACCTGGGGGGTTGTTTGTTTGTTTTCTAATTTGTAACAGTGTTTTGCCTCTTGTACCTGTTAAAATCAGTTTTCAGAAATATTAATGGATTAGTAACATTTTTTCTTAAATAAATTGTTTCATTTGCTAGCACTGACTTGAAATTCTGCATTTTTGTTGTTCCATAAAACTAAAATTGGTGACATGAGGGGGAAATGTCTTCTCTTCTGCACATTAAACCATGATGGCTTCATTGTATGTGTGTATGTACACTGCACAACCATATGTAGATCCACATACCGCTTCAGACAACCCAGTTCCAAGGAGATCTTCTGATCTGGTTATTAGGAAATTTGCTCTACAGTTAAGAAAATTATTTTGCAAATCCATTTGTGCCTGCTTTGGGGTGATGAAAGTCGTGTTGTAGAATCCACTCATTAGCAGTATATCCACAATCAGTTTGACTTTAGAGGAGTTTTTCACATCAAAAGTCAGATTCAGGATTATCGTTTAGGGGGAAAGGAGTATTGTGTTTATAATAACCTGTGTAAAAGTTTTATGGGTTTCATGGTCT